TCAAGTTGAGTAGACGACCATGCCTCTCAGTGAATGGAGATTTCTCAGGGATCCTTGAAGCCAGCTCCTTGAGTTGTGGAGGAATTCTTACAAGGTTGATTTGGATAGTTTTCCTGCGAAGTGAATCCATATCCTACAAAACAAGAACAAAGATGAATCTCCAAATCCTTGAAATGGTTAGTGGATGCATATGATGTTTATGATGTCCATGATGTTATGTACAAGCATGTATATACAATCAACACAAACAAGTTCTTAGTTTAGGCTTGCATGGGGTTTTATAGGTAAGTACCCTCTTGAATTTTAGTTGGCTCAACCTGTCCTAACAATAGTAACCGGGTTCTAAGGAGCTTAATATCACTGGATCATTTCCTTGGTCATTGTTTCAGCTCAAGCTTCTTTAATGGTGACCGAAATATCCCAAGAAACCAAACCTCAATGAGTGTAGTATCTAGTATCTACCAACTTCAGACTGCACCAAAGCCGGTCATCTCACTACATCCTAAAGGCCAAGTTGGTCAAGTAAAGGGTTCTAGAAGTTCATTAGTGTTTCATGACATCACTCAGTGGCCCCGTATTCTCTTTGATTAACTCAAAGGCTACCGGTACCCACAAATATGTCACACTAACATAGCTATTGCTTAGACCATGTCAGTATACCCCGCATAGTTTCCACAACGTATTGCTATTTACCTATAATGTTTCCCAAATCTGGGTGGAGGATTCAAACCCAAACAAAGAACCATAATGTAAAGCAAACAAGTCAAATAATGTAAACAAATAAATGTGATCTAGCCCTAAGGTAACCCCACTTTCATTTAAATTCCCCTGCAGAGTCGCCCGTTCTGTGATACGGTGGGAGAACTGACTTGAGGGTTTTGCGTTTTATCGCAAATGTTGCGGTTAGCAAGAGTCGCCACCGACTTTTCTTTTATCCAAAAGGAAAGGTGAAAAATCCCAGGAAATACCTTTGAGATGTTTTCTTGAGTTCGGGGGGTAGATTATGAAAAGGGAAGGTATTAGCACTCTTTTCATCCATGGTTTTCCATGGGCTCTTAGTTACTTGCTTAGATCACTTGCTTTTGTTGTTTGAAAATTTGTTTGGTGTGTTTTGAAAGTATTTTGTAAAAGAGGCCATTCGTTTAGGCAATCTTTGTAATGATTCTCGTTCGTAAGAATGTATACAAAGATGTTTGTCTTTTGAAAATCTTTTCAATGTTTGTAAGATGTTTTTGAAATGTGTGTGTTTGTTTTGAAAATAGCAAGGATAGTTGTTTGGAAATAGAGCAAGTAACTAGAAGTAATCTACCTACTCAAATGTCTTTCTTGTTCATTTTCTTTTCCTTTGATATTGTTGTCTTACCATTGATTTGGTAAGCAACCCTATCTTTGGATGTAAACGGGACGGGCATGGGTCATCGTATAACCATGATTAGCAATGTTTGCAAAGTATCTTAGCATTTTGAGGGACCAAGATCATTTTGTAAGACAACTTTTGAATAGCGTCATCGAGGGACTATGATCTTATATTTGTTTTGTTTTGCTAAGATACTTCGCATGCATAACATTGCCATTTTTATATAAGGCAACCAAGTGGAGAAACCCTAAGGATGCTTGTGTGCAAGTGTATCATTTTCATGCTTGTATTTTGTCTTATATTTAGGGTTTTCTATTTTGCTTTGTTTTGATCTTATCATACAAACCCTAATTACTAATCATGGCATGTAAAGCGGTAAATTACGTAATGTAAATATTACTAAGCTATTACAACAATTTTATGGGAGAGGGGAATACGAATTTGAATGGGGATTTAAAAAAATGTAAACCTAAATAAATTATTACAACCAAATTGAATTTGTACGAATTAGAATAAATACAATATTTAAGTATGCAATATTATATACATGCAAAAAAGATTTTTTTTGTTTTATTTTTATGTAAAAGAAATTTTAATCTAAAACTAAAATTATAAGGAAAAAAAATTAATTATTTAGAAGGGAGGTTTTAACCCTAATTTCTATTTTAAAAGAAAATGAAGTTCATATGTATTATTTATGTATTTTTTATATTTAAAATAATAAATAATATTGTATATAAAAATATAAAGTTTTTATATATGCAAAAATGAATATTTATAAGTGTGGGATGAAAAGGAAATAAATAAATTAAGCTAAATATATTTTAATTATATTTTACAAATTTATTAAGAAAATATATGATACATATTAAAAATAAAATAAATTTCTATGTGAAAAGTAAACTAAAATAAAATAAAAATGCAATAGTATGAAATTTACATTTTTGGGATTTTTATGCATCAGAGAAATATTTAATATATATATAAAATGAAAATAAAATAAAAATAAAAAAAAGTTGGCAAAAGGGGTGTTGTAGAAAAACTGGCAGCAATGTGTTAGTAAAAAAATTGCTAGGCCCAAAAGACTAAGCCCAAACCTGCAAAAAATGGCAAAAGCTGAAAAAATGGAAAAATATAGAAAACAAAAGTAGCGCCCAGGTTCGAACCCAGGACATGGGTCTCACCAGCGTGCTACTTTGCCACTGGGGTGGCTATACATCCATTATTTTAAGTGAAACGAATATAATATAACATGAAACAAGTCCTTGCCCTGTACTTCATCTTCTTCCTCAAGCTTGGCCAGATGCTCTGTAACTCTCTCATTCTTCCATGAAAATGAAAACTCATAACATGAAAGTTGTAGTATTTGATCTCACGATTCCAACCATATAAGTCATGTAAGCTAACAATCAAAGATCAGAGGGAATTTTAAAAGCCCTAAATTAAAACCTAATTTTTTCAGAAACTTCAAGTTCTAAATTCTCTCAACTCAACCAAATAAATGCAAGATAAAGATATGTCCAATTTCGTTGCAATGAGGGCTACATTATTTATTCACAAATTATGGCCAATGGTTGCCTGTACAAGGAGACAGAAGTTGAGATTTTACCTCCTTCAGTTGAAATCATGGATGGAACTGGAATGAGTTTGATGGAGGCCTGATGCTTGCTTGAGCTTCCTTGAACTTCCCTGAATGTATTCCATTCCTTGCCTTGCTCTGAAAGTGCCTGAAACTCCTTGGCCAAGTCAACCTGCAAGCTTTGAAAACAAAAATGGAAGATGATGGAGAAGGGGTTACAGTACAGGGATGAAGTTCTGGATTGGTTAGATATCAAGTAGGTAAGATGTTTTAATGGTCAAGACTTGAAACGCACGAGCCAAATGGAAGATTGAAATGCTTATGCAAAAACTGCAAGTCTTGACAATTTTCTGGTGTTTTTGAGCTTGGGAGTGTTTCAGGCCTTTCTCAATCGTCCCTTGTGTTGTATTATGTTTGTATATTAGTATAGAATTAGTTTCATGTCAACCCTCCAACAGATGTGCCAGTTCTAGCCTTTTTGCAACTTTTCTTGCCTTTGAAGTAAAGTGAAGGGACAAGGCTTGCCATGATTGTACTTGCTTTCTTAGGGTTGGTATAAACTTGTACAAATTGCTTTAGTCCTGTAATATTTGTATATTCAATGGAGACAGGTGCAATGCTCAAGAATTGGAAAGTGGCAAAAGTTAAGCTTTTTCAAAATGGCAATGGTCATTTTATGCCATTTATGGAATTACAACTTGGGTAATGGCTCTAGGGCATGGATCAAAGCTTTGTCAACTGAGTAAGCATTAAATTAAGGAGTGAGGAACAATTTTGGGACCTGTAAAGCATGGATTAAGAAATATAGGTATTGATTGGAACTTTGTTCTTCATGAAATGGCTTGGACAAAAAGTGAGAAAATGTCAACTTCATCTCTTCGATTCTCCCTACTCAGAAATGATATTGAGGAGTTCTGGGACATTTTGGAAAGCTTGCAATGTGCTCTATAACTTATCTTTGAAATGAATTTTGAGATACCTCTTGGAACTAGGTGAAAAATTTCCATGAAGTTGGGTCCAAAACCTGCCTAAATTAGGGCAAAATTTCACTAAGTTATTTAGTTCATAACCATGTATTAATAAATTTATATCTTGAGATCCAAGTATATTTATGAAAAAATGTGTGAAGAAAAGTTGTATATTTCATGGAGGTCTACAACTTTCATGTTGGGAACTTTCTTGGAATCATTATGCATCATGGTGAAAAAGTGGCCTAAAGTTGAGAAAAAATAAGAAAACTTTCTGTACTTAGAAAATTTCCAAGTTAAGAAAATTTTCAAATTTAAACCCTAATATTCAAACTTGGATTTCTTGATGAACAAGATTCATATTTTGACATTTTTTGATGAATTATGACCCTTGGCACTTGATTTTGACCAAAAAGTCAAAGTTTGACTTTTCAGTGTACAATTGACTTTTGATCAGTTGACTGCAAATTTCATCTGTCAATCCAATGAAATTGCAATGTTTTGAGCCATGTAATAAGGTCAAGATGATGTAATTGAATCCTTGAAATCATGCCTTAACTCAATTGGTCATTTGCTAGGTTAAAAATCAGAAATTACCCTTCCTCAGTCAAAACCCTAATTTTGACCATTTTGCCCTTTTGGTGATTTGATCAAATTTCTTGAGGAATTGTGATCCAAACTTGACCAAATGACACATATGAGTCTAAAATGTTGATGTTGATAAAAAAATTATGAATTTTGACTGTAAATTGGCCATGGTTGACTTTTCCCCTAATACAACTAAATTTTAGGTCAACTGTCCAATTGATTGATCAAAAATATGGTTCAAGGCTTGAAACTTGTCATGAGTGATCTTAGGGGTCCATAATTATGTTTGAAAGTCATATAAAGCATTGATAATCCAAAAATATTTGTGAAAACTCAAACCCTAATTTTGGGTTATCAGTGCAAGATGAGATGTCTTGAGCTGACCAAACCCTAATCCAGTCTTGAGTCAAAGAGATCTTGTGAGAAAATTTTTGATAAATGAGAGGGAAAATTTTGGGGTACAACATGGACTTCTTCTTAACCAAGGCAGTTATTGTCCTTATCATTTTCATTTGTTATCTGCAATGCGAGTAGATTTAGATTGAATTGGGCTTCTCATGGAAGAATTCATGCAAAGTAATTCAAGGTTCAAGGCATTCAAGGCAGGGTTATGTTCAACATGGCATACCTGGTTGATGGGCTTACAAGCTCTTATGAGACCTTGAGATGCATAATCATGGGCCAAGTTCAAGATACGTGGATAAGACCTGTTGACTTCGGTTAAAGTAAGCTTTGAAAAATTAACTTTTGGACCAAGGTCTCCCTTGAACTTTCATCTAATATGTGTTAGGCATTCAAGTTGCATTTGAAGAATGGTATGGAAAAAGGAGAAGAAATATTGGTTCAGAAAAGGAAAATTTCATTAAAAATCAGGGTTTCTATTCGTTGATAAATGTTCAGTAATTGAAGATCAGGGGAAATAAAGTTTCATGTTAATCTTGATCATATTCTTTCATTATCATTTATGTCCATCTTTGATGATTTAATTAGGGAAGGAATTTGTCAAGATAAGAGACTTGTGGTTTGAATCATGGAATATGGGTCGTAATATAAAAGGGGAGGTTATGAATTCTTTAGGATCGAGATCTTATTGAATATTCAAATTACTTATCATACAAGTTGATTTGGATTTAAGATTGAAGTTTGGATTTAAGATCTGAATTTGAGTCGAATTCGCTATTATGAACTACCCATCACAGTGACTACTTAGTGTCATGAGTTTATAATCTGCAAGTATGGATTTCTTGGAGTTACAAAAGCAAGGTTCACCATGATTCAAGGTTCAAGGAATTCAATGTATTCATGCATTTCGATTTTGAATATCACAAGCTCATTCAAGTTTCAATTTACTCATCCAAGTTCAAATTCCAAGTACAACATTCACTATTCAAGTTTTACAATGTCTAAACATCATACAAAACCATAAATCCAATCTACAAAACCATGACCACAATGTCTAAACATCATACAAAAATACTACACAAACTTTTGTTCTAAGATCTTAATAGCCTAATATCTTCATGTTTCCATGTTCATGCCAAATAACCATCTTCAAAATTCTCTTTCAGGCCATATTCAATCTCTCATGCCATCTTCTTGAATTTTCCTTGAACTCCAATTTTAAGCCTTCTTATAATTATAAGCTATACCCTGTCAATTAACCAAACAGTTTTGCATAAATACACATGCAGACAAACTGGTTTCCAAATTAATCATGAAGCAAATTGGTTAAATTGGTCCATACCTGTTTCGATCCATGGAAAAGAAAATCAAATTGTGCCTATACAAACATGCATTGAGAATATCCAAAAATGAGGAAATCAGAAACAATCAATCAGCAGTTCAAAACCAAGCCATATACCAGAACAGAACTACCCTGCTGCATCAAACACCAGCCAGTTATAAGTTTGTTTCAAGCTAATCCTGCATAACATTCACAACAAGAAAAAATCAGAAAGGGAAGAAGGCAGTCATATAGGAGCATACTGTACTGACCTGATGTTAGTTTCGAGAAAAGACAACAAAAATCAATCCGAACTTACTTCAAAACCAGCCCTGCACAAAAATATAGCAAACAGGAATCTCTAGCTAGCATTAATAGAATTCTCAACAGAAAAACAGAAAATCAATAACTCTAACAATTAACAAACTTTTCTAACTACTTTCTAACATATTTACTAATCTCCTAACTGTTATATCATAACAGAAATCAAAACCAATTTCTAACTGCTAATAGAAACTAACAAACAGGTCACTAATTGATTTTCTAACCAACTAACAGCTAATAGTTCTAACAAACTCTAACAGAGTAACCACTCTAACCAATTTCCAGCAGAGATAACTAAAAAGCATAAGGGGAAAAATATAAAAGAGAGTTCCAACTAAAGCCTCTAATCGAATCATAACATAATTTCGGAACAAAACTAATTGTAACTAACTATTAACAGTTTCTAACTAACCAATTCATATAACAAACTCCAAATAGCGTTGCTAACAGGAAACCAGTATTCCAGTTCATCTCTTAAATACTATAACAGAAACTTCCTAAGTACCTAACCAACTGATAACTGTTTCTAACTATAACCCCTCTCACCCTTCTGATTTTTTTCCTAGAATCTCTAACAGCCCAACTAATTCCATAATAACTTCTATCCTAACTGTCCACAAGATCAAAACATAAACCCAAAAACTCCTTCTAACCACTTTTTCCAGCTAGCAAAACAGAATGTAACTAATTTCTTCTGACAACCTTCAGCTTAGCAACTAACTTAATTTCTAGCTCATACTAACTGACTCCAACTGTCAATAATAAAAAGCGAACTGTCATAACAGATTTGAGAATTCCCTCTAACTCTTTACTTCCTAACCTCTTAACCAACTCCTAACAAACTTCTAACAGAATTGGAAATAGAAGATAAGGGGAGGAATCAGAGGATAGGATATATACCAGAAAGGTCAGAGGAAAATAGGTAGTAGAAAAACTCACCATAAAATCTTCTTTTTCTCTCTGAATCAGGAGGTGAATCATCATCACCATTATCAATCTTCATCATCCTCACTCATCTTCATCTTCAATCATTCTTCAATCCCTAGAGAATCAGATCACCAACCAAAAAGAAACTCTCAGAACTCTCTCTCCAAAAAAAACACTATCAAAATCGCCATAACCTCTCTCTTCTTCCTCTCTCGGTTTTCATCCCCCATCACAAAAAAAAACAAGAAGCTCTCTTTCCCTCTGCAACTGAGCTTCATCATCATCTTCAATCATCGTCCACAACTCCTATTTCTTCAATGCAGAACCTCGCACAACAATCATCGCACTATTCTGTAGCGGATTCAACAACATTGCTTCAATAATTTCGACTTCGTGTCGAAATCGCAACTGACATAATCAATCAATACAAATTCAACATCAATGATTCGTAAACAACTTCACATTACGATACAGATAACGCAAAAGAAAGAAGATGAAGAGGATTTTGTGGCAGAAAACGGAAGGGTATCGGAAGAAGAAGAAGAAGGAAGAAATACCTGAAATTCTCTTAAGTTCCCACTTTCTTGTCAGATCTGAAGAACCGTCGAAGTGTGATTCTGTTGGGATGAAGATGATGAGACCGCAGTGCGATTGGAAGAAAGGTGAGATGGAAATTCCCTTTTTGGCGCCGTTTGGAGAAGGAGAAGACCTAAGACAGATGAAGTTTATCACGTACATAAGGGTGAGGAATATCAGTGGCAGAAAAGGTGAAGCGATGTTGACGCAGAGGAGATCGTTGCCGTTGTTGGTTTCAGAGAAGAAGAACGAAGATGAAAGGAAGAAGGGTTTTGTGCATAGAAGCTTAATCTCCACATCAAACCCTATTCCTCTTTCAATTTTGTTTTTTTATCTTATTTTAGTATTTTATTAGGATAATTGGAATAAAAATATGAAAATGTATAAAAAATGGATTGGGCTTATTGACTTTGCTAGACCGGATCAGATTTCTCCATAAGCTCATTCGTTCGGTTTTGGCAGCATGTTTGCTTGTGAAAAAAAAGGGCTGATGTTGGGCCTTACTTATCCAATGGGCCTTCAGCGCCTAAGTTTACTACATTATACCCCTGGAATCAGCTTAGCACCCCCTGAACTCTTTACATTTATGTTTTTTTATTTTTCTTCATCAATTTTCTTTTATTGGCTTTTGTTAACTTTTATTTCATAAAAAATAATAATAACTTGGAAAATAGTTAGAATATTTTAGGAAATATTTTAGAATTCCTAGGTTTTCTCTTTAGAATTTTATTAGAATTTTCTAATATTTCTTTTCATGTTCGATAATCATTTTCGTTGTCATTTTTTTAGCTAAGATTTTGTGATAGAATGTTGATGTAATTTTTTGCAATGTGGAATGCTGAGAAATTAATTCTTTGATCACTCGCGCGGAGCAGCTTTTGACAGAGTATTCTTATTGCTTGCACGATTTCAAAGAGGCAACGAACCTTCTCCGTTGAGTATCATCACAACCTCATTTATTCCTCATCTCCGCATTTATCGCTTCCTAGAGATCATATGAAGTATGATAACATTAGGTTTAGAAATAGGCTAGACTCCCCCTGACTATTCTTCCCCTTTTGCATTTGCACTAAAACTAAAATTTCTTTCTTTTGCAAACTTCAAAAACACTTAAAAATGACTGATGAGAATCACGCCTTTGTTGAGCATGAGAAATGATAAGTGGGTCTCTTCTCGATCTTATTGTTTTTTCCATTATAAGCCTTGGCATGGTTCAAGTCTCAAAGACTCATTTCATAAACAAGTAGAGAAATGGCTAAAATCTCTCCCTTGAGGTCAACTAGCTATCATCTACGAGCAAAAAACACCAACCAATACGAACTCTTTTTGTCCTCGGGCCTTTTCTCAAAAAACTTTTCAAAAGAACAAGTTAATTCATTTATGTGCTGACGCGTAAGTCTCCAAAGATCGAGTTGCGACAGAAGGAGAAATTAATATTGTTCATTAAAAAACACAAACCAATTCAAACCTTTTTGTGCGCCCAAGCACCTTTTCTCCAAACTTTTTTCCAGAAGGGCATGTTAATTCACTTCTGTGCTGACGCGTAAGTCTCCAAAGGTCGAGTTGCGGAAGAAGGTGAAATTAATGTTGTTCATTAAAAAATATGAACCAACAAAAACATATAATCCGAACTACGGCTACTCTGATTCCTTAAAAGGGATACGTAGGCATCGGGGTAGGGCCCGAACGAGCACAACTTTTATTTTCCCTACATTCTTTTCTCCTTTTCTTTTGCATGCATTCCTCCCTTCAATAGTGTAATAAACAGTAAGCATAGATTAAACACACCTATAAGATAGATAACAAGAGTGGATACCGTAGAGTACTACGGGCGTGTGGGGTGCTAATACCTTCCCCTCGCGTAACAGACTCCCTTACCCTTATCTCTCGGTCGCAAGATCGTGACTTCTCCCTTCTCATGTTTTCTCTATGTTTACCTTTCCCTCCATGTGGGATAAAAGACGTTCGATGGTGACTTCATTGTTTGATGATTTTCAGCCGGTTGTTTCACTTGTAAGTCATTTGTGGTAGCCAATCCTTCATTCTCTTAAGACATAAGATCAAAAATAAACCACCTCTTATTTCTTCATGGTTGATAACACTTTTTACTCTAGATACACAAATCTTTGAATAAAAACACCCAGAACATCATGAGATAATTCTTCAAAACATAAATCTTCATAAGAAGTCCATCTTTCAGTCTAACTAATAGAATCCTTGGAACATTCATAATCAGGATCACTTTCCTAATTAAGCCAAGAAATAGAGAACTCATCCAGTTGTTCTTGAGATAAATAGGGTATTCTGCTCAACAAAGATTCAAGGTATTCACACTCATATGAATGCTTTGACATTGATTGATATATACTCTAGTTTCAGCATTTCCTTTAGCATCACATACTTGCTGAAGTCAGTACAGGTGTTCTGACATTTTGTTTGGACATTATGTCCAAAGTCTTCAACACCTGATTCGATTGTCTTCCAAGGAACACAATAGTAATAAGAAATCCTTCATCAGAGACCAGGGCACAATTTTCTTAAGGTTGGAAACAACAAGAATGTTTTAATTGTTCTTCAATGACTTGTCACTTTCATGTCAAACCACCTGATTAAACCTGAGAAACCTTCTTCTTAATCATCCTCACATCTGAATTAGTTTCTTCCAACCACACTTAGATGTGCCTTTATGAGTGGACTTGAGAAATTTCTAAGTATCTTTGGTTACAACAGAAGTGATGCAGAGAACCTACCAATTCCATAGACCATTAAGTTGATAATTTCATAGTGACAAGGAGCCAACTCAAATTCTTCCTTTCTATCTCTTCAGTACCAGGATTCCCCTATCCTGATAATTATTCAAGGTCTATTGTCCATAGATAACCAGAATATTATCATTTCAGCCTTCGAATAAGAATAATAGTACAAGAAAAATACTTCCTCAAACTCACCCAATAGACCAGGGTGTCTGCTCTGATACCAATTGAAATTTCTCTAGTACAGGCAACACATGGTAATATTGATGTCTCAACATCATAACAATGTCACTGCAGATATTACAACATCTGTTGACAAATTGAACAGATTTATCAAGTTATAATATATATTGAAACTTAAACTGAAGAATGATAAATAACACATAAAGTTATTAACCCATTTCAGTGCAACATCACCTACATCTGGGGGCTACCAAGCCAGGAAGGAATTCCACTATTAGCAGTATTAGTTCAAAGCCTAAATAGTCAATGTTTACAACTTCTCTCCTAATCCCTACCCAATGTAACTTCTACCTAGGAACCTTCTAAATATGAGAAATCGCCATCCCGCTTCCTAAATCACCTTAGTGATATCTAACAATCCCAATCCTAGTGAGTGTATTAATAATAACTCAACAATAAGATCATACTTCCATTACAATACTTTGCCAAGACTCTTGACTAAGAACAATACTTGAATTTTCTTAAAAGCTTCATCCAAGAACAATACTCAACTCATTTCCTAAAGGCTTTAGAGTGAGAACATAATGTAGACCACATATACCAAAAGAT